TTTTATTATTATCAAATTAATATTAAAATTTATTTAATTATTTTTTTGGGGTAAAGTTTTGGGTACTAAATCAATTTTTTTTGGATTTTATTAAATTTTTTTAATTTCTTTGGGTACTAAATTTGGCGAAGGGTAATTGTGAAAATAATAAAAAATTTTGAGATGAAATCATCAAATAATAAAAAATTTTGAGATGAAATCATCACTTTCTGTTAGCGACATTGACGAAAGGGTTTTCGTGCAATAAGTTTCAAACTTTAGGGGGGCTTTTGTGTTTTTTATAAAATGCCAAGGGTGTCCATATTTTTTCCCCAAATATTTATGATTAGACGTCATATTATCAATTAAAAAAATATGTTAGCATAATTTGGATAAAAAAAATTTATTAGTAATATTGAATCACAAAAAAAAATAATAAAATTCAAATTAAATATTTAAAATAATATTAAAAAATAAAATACCTCAATAACACTTATCTCTTTAGGTCTCACATATTCTTGAGCAGCTAGACTAGTAATATTAAATAAAAGAAAAATTACTAATAAGTATTACTTTTTTCCTACAAATATCCATTTAAGTCATATCATTTTTGTCTTATATCAATCAAGTGTTATTTTTAATATTTTATTTCAATTAAATCCTAATTCCATTATATTTTAATTTTCTCTTTACCTTTTAGTTACCAAATCTCTTTCATTCTTTTGCATTCTTAGAATCAATTAATATAATATTACAAATTTTACATCAATATTAATTTAAGCTAATTTTTACCAAAATCATATTCTATTAATTTATATTGGATTTAAAATGATTAAGTTAGGGATTTATTTTAGTTGTTGTATTTAAATCGATAACGACATTAAAATGGAATTAATCAACAAATATTATCGATGTAATTATTTTAACCTTTCGTATTTTTTTAAATAATCGGCAAATATTATCTCGAGTTTTAAAATTATGTATCCTACTGAAATAAAAAAAAAAAAAAAAAAAAAAGTGAGCTTTCTTTAAATCATACCATGAAGTTTATGTTATCTGAAATTTTTTTATGGGATTTCGATGTTAATATTGTAAGCAAGGAATTTTTATCTTATTAATTGGTTTTAAGAATGCAAAAGAATGAAAGAGTTTTGATAACTGAGGGGGTAAAAATAAAATTGAAATATAATAGAATTTATGACTTAATTGAAATAAAATATTAAGAATAGAACTTCGTTGATATAAAACAAAAATATAGGACTTAATAGATTTTTGTTAGAAAAAATAATACTTATTAATAATTTTCCTCAAATATTAAAACAACGAATCTCTCCATCCAAAATAGTTTTAGAAGTTAGTTTGATATAAATCAACTAATGGAGAAATTTTTTACTATTTTACTCACTTTGCTTAGTAATTCTTAATAAAGATTTGAAAATTGTATAGGATGTTAATATGTAATTATCGATCGAATATGAGTTAAGTTTGAACAAATACAATTCATGACAGAATTAAAATTTTTTTTTTTTGAACAATAAACCACTCTAGAACTTCCACTTAAAAGTAGAAGTGACATAGAGCCTTATACACTCACACATAACCCCAAGGTCATCCGAATGATAGAGTTAATTCACTAGACCCATTTCAAAATCGGTCGACACCACCTTAAATATGCATGATATATTTAGAACACAAATTCAACTATATTTGATCATATATATAATAAAATACAATACAATTCAAATCTAAAAAATAAACAAAATAATTTTTGCTTTTTGCGGATGAAATTACTTTAAATTTTGCTCTAAAGTTAATCCGACGGCTAATATTAACACCTCAAATTTAATAGGTAAAATATACCTCTAAAAGTGTGTTTGATGTGACTTTTTAAAAATACTTATAGAACTTATAACTATTTATGAATACTTTAAAAAAAATAAAAATAATATTTGGAGTCGCTCCACCACTATCACCCCCACCGCCCCACCGCCATCACCACTACCACCGCCATCGCCATCCCCACCACCACCTTATCACCACCTCCGCCACAACAACCACCACCTCCACCGCTGCCTTTGCCACCACCACTACCGTCATCCCACCACACCAACCGCCCCACCATCACCAACACCACCACTGTCGTTGTCGCCACCGCCACCACTATTGTCGTCATCCCACCCCCCCACCTCCACCTCTATCATCGCCGCTGCCCCATTACCATCGCCACCCACCACTGATTACTTTTACCGTCGTCCATCGCCACCACCTACCACACTTTTCATCTCATTCTTATATTTATTATCATTATCACCATTGTCCACCGTTAACACCCAACATTACCATTATTGCTCACCACCAACCATCGCCGCCCACTATCACAACCTACCACCATCCATCATTACTCATCATCATTGCCAATCACTATCGCCCACCCCCCATTAAACTTACCACCACCAACCACCACTAATCCTCATCATCCACCACTATCACCCACACCCCATCACACCTACCACCACCACCACCGCTATTTATCACAACCAATCACATTGTCGTTCAGAAGCACCCGTCGTTGCCCACGACCTCCATCACCACAACCCACTACCGTCGTTACTAGGGGTGTTCAAATTTTTGATTGACCGCAATTTCTTACCCTACCCAACCCTACTCTACCTTACTAAACAACTAGCTGCAAAAATCGGATAGGAATGCGGAAGAGATTTTGGTCTTCCGATTAAATCGAGTAAGAATACGGAATACCCATCAATTTTTGCATTTCTGTCCTACCCTACCAGCAAAAAAAATGTTTAACTTTTTTATATTTTTTTAGTAATTATAAGAGTATTTGTGTGAAATAATTTATATTATAACATTGTTATTGTTGTGGATGTTTGAGTTGCGAAAATATAGNTAACTATTGGTCTTTCTACGGAAGAAGGTTTAATCTCATCAATTTTATTTTCAATTTTATCCAACTGTTTACCTATAGTGATTAGGCTTTGGTTGGTGAAATTGACCTGTTCAACTATCTTCTTTTCAGATTCTAAGACTNTTAGTAATTATAAGAGTATTTGTGTGAAATAATTTATATTATAACATTGTTATTGTTGTGGATGTTTGAGTTGCGAAAATATAGACTTATTTTTTTTGTAGGTTACATGATTTGTGATGAACTAATAAACTATTGGAGCAATTATGATTTTAATATATATCATATGGTTTAAGCTTAAAATAATTATTTGTATTTGTGTACCAGTTGTGATGGATTGATGTTCATACTTTCTTATATTTTATTGTAATTGTTGTTGTAGTTATTTTAGGTTTTAGTGTTATTGAATTATTGTGTTGTTAAATTGGTGTATGTTATTTAATTGAATTATTAAAATGATCCAAAAATTAATAGCTACAAAAGTGTTTACCCCGATTATTCGGGTAGGAAGTTGGGTAGGAATATTACACCTGATCGGGTAGGGTAGACAAAAATTTTTTTTTTTTCACAAAGTATCGGGTAGGAAGATGGAAGACAATATTTTCTACCCGTAGAGTAGAGTGAACACTCCTAGTCGTCGCCCCACCACCACTACTGCTACCCACTATCACCATCACCCACAAACCACTCCTGTCGTCACCCATGACTGCAATACCACCATTGTCACCAAAAATTCACAACTAGCATCACCGTTGTCGCCATGATTGCCACCATCGCCACGGTCATCGTCACTCACCACAAACCAACGTCATCTTCCACTACCACCATCACTATTCACCCCCACTACAACTGATGCTTAAATTCTTTTCTTTACTCTATATTTGTAATTTGATTTTGAGTTTTTGAGTGTGAATATAAATATATTTGTTGTTGATTATATTTTTTATTATTATTCTGTGCCTTCAAATACAGACCATAACTATTATATATATAAAATGTATAGAGTGAATAAATTTTGTACTTAATCTTGACCATAATGACCGACGGTTAACATAAGGTCCATCAAAAGATGGATTGTGTTGTAGAAAATGCATAATTGTTATGTACAACCAACATTAATTGAGACTCATTATCAATTCAATAATTATAATGTAAACATAATATGTTCAAATATCATTTTTCATATGTATAGTAGTTGGCCTTAGGTCTGTCAATGGATCAGAGTATAATCTAAATTTAAATCTGAATTCAATATCTTATATTTAAAGGTTTTTAGATTTAGATACATATATCTATATCAGGTATAATTTGTTAAAATTTAATTAATGAAGTTATTCGGATCAAATTTTAGATATGAATCATAAAAATAAAATCCAACGAATTATACCATCGGATTCGGACCAAACTTTTAAAATCAATTTTAACTCAGGCAAAATCCGATCCGTTGACGAGCCCAGTAGAACTAAGCATAGCATGGACATTAAGTCGGGTTGGGCTTTCTGAGACCGTGATTCAAGCCCAGTCTAAGCAGTTTAGAACCCTCCTGAAGCCCCTCTCGTTCTATCCCCTCCCTCTATCTGAAAACTCTCCGACATGTCCGTCAAACTCTCGATGCATTCCTAGTTCAGTAGTTCCTCTCTCTCTCTCTCTCTACTTATGGGCTCCACTTCCACATTCTCTCTCTCTCCTCACTCAAAGGTAGTTCTTTCTCTCTCTCTCTCTCTCTCTCTATCTATATATATATATATATATATCGATCATATGTATTCATGGTTGTGTGTTTGTGGACTGAAATCTTGAGTTTTAATCTATTTCTTAGATTTTACGCCGAAGCCAATTGTGGACGCATGGAGTTTTGAGCAGCTCTTCGAGCTATTGTTCGCACAGTGTGCTGTTTCATAATACTGTGGTATACATCAGTAGGCAAAAATGTCCAAAATTCAGAAATCTGACCGTTGAAGCTGCTTCTTCTTCTGCGGGGGGTTCGAGGCGGAGGGTTTATAATCAGTCCGAACCTCAAGGTCCGGCCATTCCTGTGAAGGAGATTGTTTCTTTTGTGGTTCCAGCAGGCGCATTCGTCGTCGTTACTTTCGGTATGAGCGTATGTTATATGAATGCTTTAGTAAGTTCTAGTTTGTTCGATATGCATTGGGGCTTTTTTTTTTCGGTTTCTGTTGTGGGAAGAGGTTGATAATAAAGTGCAAGAATTTGTTTGAATTTAACTAAGTTAATCGATTTTTTAATGATCTTAGCTTGAAAAGTGTTACTATATTCTGTACTTGTTTTTGCTACAGAAGAGGAATTCATTGCCGTTGTTTTGACGCCAATGTGGTTAAGAAAGAGTGAGTGAAGGATGTTAATGGAAATTTTCTAGTTGGTTGAGTTGTTGTAGCCATAAATTAGGCACTAATTCGTGAGTATTCTACAGTATGTGCATTTGCAATAGTTTTAGCTACGTGTTTAAGGAATTCATCAGCCTTGTTGGATGAGTTATATTCCTTTGTTGAGAGACCCATTTGGAAGATGTTTGAAATATGTTGAAGTCGTGAAAACCAAATAGGTTATACAAACCAATGCGGTCTGCATAGAGCAAATTAGCCATGTAATCCAAATAGGTTATGAGCCACCCAATTTGAAAAGATTTGCATTTGAATGTCTTTCATGGTGGTTTAAAGTTGATACTAGAATGAGAGTCATCAGGTTTAGAAATATATGAGTGAAGGCGTTGTTGAACTTGATATGAAAAGAGACCAAAACAATTGAACTTGAGAAGAAAGTAATATCTTGAATAAATTGATAGGTTTTTGGCTTTTCCTGCCTCATTTTCCAATAGCGAGTATTAGAATGAGATGAAAGAGATACAAGTAGCATTGATGGTAAAGTTTTTTAGAAATGGCTTTGTCACACAGATAATTGAGTGGTAGCTTGAACTTTTTAGTCTTTCAGTTTCTGNTATATATATATATATATATATATATCGATCATATGTATTCATGGTTGTGTGTTTGTGGACTGAAATCTTGAGTTTTAATCTATTTCTTAGATTTTACGCCGAAGCCAATTGTGGACGCATGGAGTTTTGAGCAGCTCTTCGAGCTATTGTTCGCACAGTGTGCTGTTTCATAATACTGTGGTATACATCAGTAGGCAAAAATGTCCAAAATTCAGAAATCTGACCGTTGAAGCTGCTTCTTCTTCTGCGGGGGGTTCGAGGCGGAGGGTTTATAATCAGTCCGAACCTCAAGGTCCGGCCATTCCTGTGAAGGAGATTGTTTCTTTTGTGGTTCCAGCAGGCGCATTCGTCGTCGTTACTTTCGGTATGAGCGTATGTTATATGAATGCTTTAGTAAGTTCTAGTTTGTTCGATATGCATTGGGGCTTTTTTTTTTCGGTTTCTGTTGTGGGAAGAGGTTGATAATAAAGTGCAAGAATTTGTTTGAATTTAACTAAGTTAATCGATTTTTTAATGATCTTAGCTTGAAAAGTGTTACTATATTCTGTACTTGTTTTTGCTACAGAAGAGGAATTCATTGCCGTTGTTTTGACGCCAATGTGGTTAAGAAAGAGTGAGTGAAGGATGTTAATGGAAATTTTCTAGTTGGTTGAGTTGTTGTAGCCATAAATTAGGCACTAATTCGTGAGTATTCTACAGTATGTGCATTTGCAATAGTTTTAGCTACGTGTTTAAGGAATTCATCAGCCTTGTTGGATGAGTTATATTCCTTTGTTGAGAGACCCATTTGGAAGATGTTTGAAATATGTTGAAGTCGTGAAAACCAAATAGGTTATACAAACCAATGCGGTCTGCATAGAGCAAATTAGCCATGTAATCCAAATAGGTTATGAGCCACCCAATTTGAAAAGATTTGCATTTGAATGTCTTTCATGGTGGTTTAAAGTTGATACTAGAATGAGAGTCATCAGGTTTAGAAATATATGAGTGAAGGCGTTGTTGAACTTGATATGAAAAGAGACCAAAACAATTGAACTTGAGAAGAAAGTAATATCTTGAATAAATTGATAGGTTTTTGGCTTTTCCTGCCTCATTTTCCAATAGCGAGTATTAGAATGAGATGAAAGAGATACAAGTAGCATTGATGGTAAAGTTTTTTAGAAATGGCTTTGTCACACAGATAATTGAGTGGTAGCTTGAACTTTTTAGTCTTTCAGTTTCTGTCCTTGTAACCAAATAAGTTAGACTTTAGACCAGTAGCTAGCTGCTCCATGGTTAGATAGCTTCCATGAACCATTCTGGAATTGCCAATGCTGATATTTGTTCATGTAACATCATATGCTTGCTCTTAGGGATGTGCTGCTTTGGTCTATGTCTTTTGTCCATCCAAAAGCCAATTGCTGTGGCTGCTATCATGGCATCTTGAGGGGTATGCATTTAGATGAAATCAATCCCAGAAATGCCTTACGTGAGCATGAAGACATCTGTGCTTTTCTCTTGCTCAAGCTGATGAAGTGAGGGGCTATGTGTGCCCTATGCAGGATGCTGAAGCCATCCCATTGGAAGTTGGGGTCATGAGGCCATGAGTCTTTCGTGGGGGTGTTTCAATCACATTCTTGTCTTTTGGACGGAGCGAGTAAATGATTGGACTAGATAAAATTTCATCAAAAGGAAAACAAAGAAGCTTTGGTTTTGAAGCCACTTGGTTGTGAATGACTTCCATTCTGAAGCATTCTGAAGAGTTCTCTTCCTTACCCTCTTAAGTATTCTTTTGCTTTGAGGACAGGAGTTGTATCTTTCTGGGGGGCTACTGTCACAAACTATGAAGCACGGACACTCTCGAGAACGTGACGTATCCATGTCAGATACTAACATTCTTCGGACACACTCAAACACTTGTCCGATACTCTTTTATCTGTGTCCATAATTAAATTATAAATTTTTACTTTCGGACACGTGTCAGACTCTTCTTTAGAACGTGTCTACTACTAAACAATAGAAATTTGTTGAAATGTGAGTAACAAAACTTTAAAATTTGAGAACATATAATTATTAATACTAGATATATTAAAGTTGTACTCTAAATATAATAATAAAAATAAAAGATGCATAAAAATTTTAAAAAAGAGTAATTGAGAAAATGAGAGCAATTATTTAAATTATATATTAGGAACACATTGTCTACAAAAAAAATTTGATGATTATTGACTATAATGATGATCTTTTAATCTAAAAATTCACACAGATAACTAGACATTAGGTTTTCTTATCATAAAATACTGATTTTTTTATGAATGGTATATCATTATTACCATATTTGCAATAAATAATATAATGTTGTATATAAAATATAATTTTTTAGTAGCGTATCCCCAACGTGTCTGTGTCCCACTTTTTTGAGAAATGTTGTATCGACGTGTCTGTGTCGTGTCGTGTCGTATCCGTGTCCTGTGTCCGTGTGCATGCTTCATAGGTCACAAATGTATCGCTTTCTTTTTGTCCAAAAATGCATTTTGCCCCCTTAAGCTTGCTGTTTTTTTTTTCTTTTTTTGTTTTGGGAGGGGGGTGGGGTGGGGGGTTATGAAAGCATGATGCTTCGCAAGAACTTCATCATGAACCCAGTTAAATATTCTGTTCTGTCTTGCTGAAAGTATTGTGACTGCAATTGTCATGCATGCATTGCAAGCTCAAGTTATTTCAGGGAAAAAATAGAAGATCATAAAGTTGATATATTCTCAATTGGTGACTAATTTGTTTCTTCAGCTGACAGTTTTGTGGAAACTGGTGGAGAAAGTCCTTGCAAAACCAACGAGGCCTTCGTCAGCGGAAAACCCATCTTCTCAAGGAATGAAATGGTCCATCGCACCAGGAACAAATTTGTTACCTGGGTTTGGTGCAAAAGTTGAAAGAGAGTCCAAGCAGAGGCTCAATGAATTTGCCAAACAACTTCGGTCATTCAGAAGCATTGACATGTCAGGTAATGGAGAAGGCAATTAGATATGATATGCTCTAGTAATCATATGTGCTTATGGCCCTTTCCTTCTGTTCTTTTCTTTTTATCTCCTCGTGGACTGTGGACAACATGATGAAGTATCAATCGCTTTTGGCTGCATTATGCTTCAGCGGTTACAAATTCAGATCTTGTGACAGAGAATTGGTTTGATTATAAAGGCTTTTTTCAGGTTGTAATTTTGGAGACGATGGACTATTTTTTCTCGCTGAGAGCTTAGCATACAATCAGGTTACTAATTCTTCTGTTATTTATGTTTCTCTACTGCATATCTATTATTTGGGTTGTTGCTAGTGGTGTAGTTTTGTTATAGTAAAGGCATTCTATCTACTGCTTACAGAGTAAGAGAGAAAATATTTAAGTCATGTTCAAATGCAATAGGAGATAAAAGTATAGTGGTCAATAACAATCACACTTCAATTGTTCTCTTTTTCTCACTAAATAGAAAGTGTATAAAGTACAAAGATGGGGGATAAGAAATCCACCCAATAATTGACCTCTATACTCTTATTGACCTTTATACTATTTGTTTTCTTTACTAATTTGAGCATCTGTTTCCATGATGTTTTTCAGATTGCGGAAGAAGTGAACTTTGCTGCCAATGGAATAACTGCCGATGGTTTGAAAGCCTTTGATGGTGTTCTGCAATCAAACATCGTACTAAATACTCTTAACCTGTCAGGAAATGCCATTGGAGACGAAGGAGCCAAGGTAAGCTCTGTTGCACAGTTAGTTAAAAATGTAATCACTGTCAGTAAAATATTTACATTTAGACATTTTGCGGGAGTGAATACATAAAACATATGAACAAGTATTCAAAAGCTGTGATGTTCTAACCTTGAGGTGTGGGTTAAATTTCAAAGTTCTCTGTAATGGTTTCTGAGTTGATTTTTCTTGATACTTAGCAATTACAAGGATTTATGTGTTGTCAACCATGGAATTCAGGTTGGCATTATGTTTGCAGATATAGATATAAACTTGTGGTGGGTGGTCTGAACCTTAAGTGGCTCTTCACAAAGGGTCTTTCTCCTTATTCTCCATAGATGTTTACATTGTAAAGCAATTAATGTTGGTTCCACCATTCTCAACATGGCATGTAATGTTCTCAGATTTAGACTTGGATCAGTTTATTTCTATTCTTCAGTCCAAATTTCCAAATTGGATTGCATCAGTGGGGCAGATCTGACTTAATACTCTTTTCAATTTAGTAATTAAGCCATACATATAACGTAATTGTTAGCACCATCCAATTTACTTTTAATGAAAGGTGCTTCTTGTGGTTTTGCGTGAGCTAAAATGACTTCATTCCAATCACTGGGTTCTGGGCTTATATTTGTCTTTTATTTATCATTCGGACATGTATATAATACTACACTTTCTTCTTTCTCAGCGCCTATGTGATATACTGGTGGATAATGCTGGTATTCAAAAACTACAGCTAAATAGTATTGGATTGGGAGATGAGGTTAGCTTAACTTTTTCCTTTACTAGGATCCTGCTGTTAGGGGCATTTTTAATAAAATGTAATTATTAATTATGGGCCCTCTGTAGTGACATGCCTAAAGCTTTTGTTCACTTTTCTGACAGGGAGCAAAGGCCATAGCTGAGATGTTGAAGAAAAATTCAAGCATACGTGTTCTTGAACTTAACAACAATTTGATTGACTATTCTGTATGAGTTGAAATTAGTAGTTCAGATATCCATTCTTCCAACTCCTCTCAAAAGGAATGAAATTAAAACTAATTCTGTTTTGCCTTTTATTTTGGAAATGGAGGTAGGGATTTTCAGGTCTTGCTGGAGCACTTCTTGAGAATAAAACTGTACAAACCTTATATCTCAAGTGAGTAAAGTTCTTGCAGTTATCTTCTTGCCTCCCATGCAACAGCAATACAATCTCTGGATTATATCTGCACGAGTAATAATGTGCATAGCCACACTTCATTGCATATTTATTGTTCTTTAAACAGAAAACTATTTTTTATCAGCTTGTTAACCTTTCCTTTGGAACTTATGTTATGCTTTTGTTACCACTTAAGTGGCAATTATGGTGGTGCATTGGGGGCGGCTGGTCTGGCTAAAGGGCTTGAGGGGAACAAATCTTTGAGGGTACGAGCTCATTTACCTCCCTTTTTTCTACTTTACAGCTTAGATTATAGTTCTACTATCATGTGGACACATCAGATCATGTATAATCTGTGCTGGAGGTTTATGCTAATTAATTTTGCAAATCTGACATCAGTGAAGTCGTATAAATGAGATAGTTATGTACTAATACACTAGAAACCTGAGGCGTCAGCATTAACTGATGAACTATATCAATGAAATCATATATTATGCCTGCTACCTTGTTAGACCACCAACTTCTCTAAATTCTTTACCCGGTAGAGAAGATATTTCATAAGTATTTATATATTTTAATATGCTCCCTTATGTGAAAGTTAGATCATAGGCCAACCACATGCAAGTAATTTAATTAGCTGGGGGTATTGTTAATTGTCGGTGCTCGTCCAAAGTTGCAACAAAAATCTTTGAAATGTTTTAAAGTTTATGAGTGCCTGTAAGCAAATGAATACTTAGGGTGCATTTGGTAACGTTTTCATTTTCATGTTTTGAAAAAAAAAAAACAGGATTAGTTTTTGTTTTAAAGTTGAAACAAAAAACATATTTGGTAATCATTTTATTTTCTATCATATATTTTACCTTTATATTAATTCTTGGCAAAACACATCCATGTTATTTATGTCAATACATCCATCAACCCATAAAATAGGGCGCAATGCATCAACCCAAAATAAGAGATGTTATTAAACATTCAAAATATCAATACGTCAACCCATTGTTAATAATCTACCAAGTACCAGACTACACCATAATTATTTCATTAAAATCCCAATAATTAGTACAAATACCAAGAACAGTAATGCACAACACATGATGAAATTGCTCTAAGTTGCACTATGATTTTGTTTCAGGCATCCTTTTCAAACGTAGATGTGTCTTTAGGCCGATTTGCTAATTCTAAATCCATCAGTTTAATAAAAACTGCCTCTTTTTTAGACGTCCATGGGCCGTCTGCTTTTTTAGTACCAACCTCAACAACGTCGTCATCCTTATGTATATTAACTTCAACAACATTTTCCATCTACACACCAATTTCCAACAACTACTCAAAAAATTTAAACATTCAAACTTATAACATCCTCTCAAATCCCAACTAGTTACATAAAACATAAAACCAAAAACAATAAAACAATAAAATTGCTTATTCACAATTCATACATCATAATTCATAATTCAATTCAAATGCATAAAGTAAGAAAGATAAAAAAAAAAAAAAATCTCATATACCGATAACTTGTCCATTTTTCAACTCCAAGTACAAATTGAAACCAAAATACATTGCCTAATGCATGTCGGATGTGGTAAAGAAAGATCCCATTAATTTGAAACATGCCTTACCCGATTTGAGGGAGATATCTATTACAACCTTCAATAGTTTCTAATATTCTAACATAAACATCTGCACTAGTTTGATATAGTTTCTAATATTCTAACACAAACATCCCCTTGATTTGAAACATGCCTTACTCGAATTCATTTTTGTACCAAAAGATGAGCAAGCAAATGAATTTTTGGAAATTGGAGAGATTCTCAACTAATAACTCTTCAACTAATAGTTCTCTCTCAACTAATAACTCTTCAAATGAATTTTTCTTAGTGATATTCATATTACCAATTAGCTATAGTGCGTATATATTCTCTCGCCATTGTTTGTGCAATGAACCTGATCATAGACATGGAAAAAAACATAAAACTAAAGAGACAAAGCTGATTTCATACCACATTCCTTATTTGCGGGAAAAAAAAAATCATGCAAAAATCTCTCTACAGAATCTCTCTAATTTATAAGTTCTCTATGCACTTCTAACTCCAAATTTGTATATAAATAACTCTATACAAATCTAACTTAGATCTATACACACACACACATAAATAACTCTATACAAATCTAACTTAGATCTACACACACACACATAAATAACTCCAAATCTATAAATATCTAAGTTATATATGTATACTTCTAACAAATCTAACTCAGATGTAACTCAAATCTAACCATGAGATTGGCGAGAGATTGACAGAAAGAGGCAGCAGAAAGATGCAGTCTTCATTGCACAGACAGAGGTGAGAGACAGCTGTGGGTCTTCGTTGCACAGACAGAGAGGCGATGGAGAAAGGCAAAGCGATGGAGAAAATGGGTTTTGTTCTCTGAGAGGCGATGGAGAAAATGAGTTTCATTCTTTGGTTATATATGTCTACATTCCTTATCTGTTGGAAAAAAATCATGCAAAAATCTCTCTAATTTATAAATAACTCTCTATACACATCTAACTCCAAATTTGTATATAAACAACTCTCTATACAAATCTAACTTAGATCTACACACATACACACACACAAAAATAACTCTAAATCTATACATATCTAAAGTATATATACATACTTATAACAAATCTAACTCAGATCTAACTCAAATCTAACCGTGCGATAGGGAAGAGATTGACAGAGAAAGACACATTGGGGTCTTTGTTGCACAAACAGAGGCGACAGAGAGATGCGGTCTTCATTGCACAAACAGAGTTGAGACATTTGTGGGTCTTCGTTGCACAGATAGAGAGGCGATGGAGAGAGGCAAGATGATGGAGAAATGGGTTTCGATCTCTGAGAGGTGATGAAGAAAATGAGTTTCGTTCTTTGGATGTATATATATATATATATATATATA